GGCTTTTTTCTTTTTGCTTATGTGGTGCTGAGGAATCGAACCCAGGGCCTCAGGCATGCAAGGCAAGCGCTCTACCACTGAGCCACCTTCCCAGCCCAGTTCTGGCTTTTTCTGCTTATGTGGTATTGAAGAATCTAACTCAGGGCTTCATGCATGCTAGGCAAACACTCTACCACTAAACTATATTCACAACTCCTCTCTTTCTCTTTCCCTTCCTTCCTTTCTTCCTTCCTTCCTTCCCTCCTTCCTCCGGTACTGGGCTAGAACCCCAAGGCTCACACTTCTGATTGGTGCTTTACCACTTGAATCTCAAGGATTTGTCTGCTAGTGTTGGCTTCTAACCTGGTTCCTTAGATCTCAGCCTCCTGAATAGCTAGGATTCTAGGCATGAGCCACCAATGCTTAGCTTGCCAAGGGCATCTTAGAGCTGGAGAAATCAAGCTACAAGCACACACTGAACTAACATCCTGGATCTAGTAGCTCCTAGATGTTGTAGAACCACATAGCTGTTAGCCATCATAGTCACATGAGAAAACCTGTGGAACGTGAAAGATTAGAATCGGGCCACAGATGGCTCTAAAATTACTTTCAGCAGTATCTGAAAATAGCGGAGCCAATATATCTGCCTTCTGTTTTATTCATCCAGTTTCTCTTGAGGCACAATTCTATTTATTCCTTTCGGTAGAAACAAAGAAGGAATATTCCAAGAAACTCAGCACAAGATGTGGCAAAATAAATAAAAATTGCATAAAATAATGCTAAATGTCCTGTTTTCACAGCCATAATTCAGGAATAACGACATGGTTTTTGTAAATGTTGGACAGCATTGCAAGCCAAATTTAATGAACTATGTGATTTTTTTTATTGTGGGAAACCACAAAATAGAAAATCATTGAAAAAAACTAAGATGTTGCTGTCATTATAGTAATACTTGATTCTGGCAAGAATAATCAATGGATGTTAAAACCAGTTAAATATTTGATGAGGAAATAGATATTTATAG